GATCTATGCTTTAATTCCTCTTCACAACACTTGGATCTACTTATAGGTGATACAAAGGGTACGCCTCAGGACACGATTGTCTTCAATCTTTGCGTCAAATGTGTTAAAAACAAGAGCGCGACGTCTGAAACGACTCTTCCAGAAGAACTCTATGAGAATCGTTTAGTTTACACGAAAGAACTCAAATGGGAACCAATTGGCAATCATTCGGATATATTTGTCGACAATCCTATCAAACCGGTTGACGACGACATACTTATAGCTAAGTTAGCCGTCGGTCAGGAACTGGACATTCAGATGCATTGCGTGAAAGGCATCGGTAGAGATCACGCGAAGTTCTCTCCGGTGGCGACCGCTTCCTATCGACTCTTACCTCAAATCGAGATATTAGAAGAAGTGGAAGGAGAAGACGCAGAGCTTCTCCAGAAGTGTTTCTCCAATGGAGTCATTGATATCGTGAAGAAATCTAATGGAAAACGAGTGGCAAAAGTAGTGAACTCTCGAATCGATTCGGGCGGACGTAATGTCTTTCGTTATCCTCATCTCAAAGACAAAGTGAAAATGTCTTTAATTAAGAATCACTTTATCTGTAAGTTTTGTAATTCAATAATTATGTGAAAGTATTTGTTAACAATATTTGAACGCATAGTTTCAGTGGAATCGACGGGTGCTCTTCCGGCCCATCAGTTGGTCACCGAAGCCGTAGAAATATTAATTGGAAAGTGTAGACACTTTTTAGGAGAACTCGAAGAATATAATAAAAACTTAAGTTAATTTATAAATATTTTTAATTCTTTGCTTTGACTTATTATTACAATAAAACACTCGTTTTGTACGTTTAAACCTATAATATAGACACATATTATGGGATCAGTTATAATTAAATTGACCATATTTTGTAAATATAGTTTAATATAACTTTTTGACAAAACAGACAATTAATTTGTGATTCAAGTGATGCACACAATTACCCCCCAAATGATCGTAACGTTGTCTATGAATGGTATGTCATATGACGTCAAATATGTTTTGATTGTATTTTTGAGTCATTTGTTTACAAATCAATTGAAATCTCAATCAAACAAAAGGTATTGGATTTTGGGATCAATTGAGACGAAGACAGGACTGAAGTGGCGAAAGGATGGGCCGTATATTTCTGGAGCACATCGGAGGCCACCGTCTCTTCTCGTGCGCCTCCTGTGACACAGTCTTAACGAATAGACACGAACTGATCAGCACTCGCTTCACGGGCGCCACCGGACGCGCCTTCCTCTTCAACCGAGTCGTCAATTTGAACTACAGGTGAAGACAACGCTTCCAATACTGACCACTATATGTCTCATGTGTTGTGTTGCAGCGAAGTTCAGGATCGGGTGATGTTGACGGGGCGTCATATGGTTCGGGACGTGTCGTGCAAGAACTGTGACACAAAGCTCGGCTGGATCTACGAGTTCGCCACCGAAGAGAACCAGCGATACAAAGAGGGGAAAGTGATTCTCGAGAGGGCTCTCGTCACCGAAAGCGATGGTCTCGAAGAACATCTGCCCAACGAATGATGGATATCAACCACTCCTTCCCATCGCAATCACTATCTCTTTCTTTGATATCGTTTTTTACATTCAATACTTTGCTTTCAATTTGTCATTAAATCTGTAAATCAATGCATAAATGCTTTCGAGAAATACTATATAACAGTAAATAACTGCAGAAACAGTGAGTCCTTTGAGTCTATTTTCGTAAGATCTGTGATAACTATATATTGATATAAGAGTTCAGTCAAACGCTTCATCCATCGACTATTTCTCTCTCTCTCTCTCTCTCTCTCTCT